CACAAAGCTGCACACCTTTATCTCTCTCCTCTTCTCAGCATTGCTTACATCAGAGATAGACAAGTCCGCTTGACAGGTCCTCCTCCATAGAAGGTCCTCCAGTTGGACTGCAATTCCCATAAGCTCTTGCCAGTGATGACCAATGATGGGAGTTACAGTCCAATAACATCTGGAGGACGTCTTGCCCATTCCAGTTTACCCTAAGTAGCAGTAGCTTTGGTGGGACTCAGCCAGAGGTCATTTCCAGTCCAAGCTGAAAATTGCAGGACTCAAACCCGCAAATGTTTTGGCTATCGAGCAAGTGTTCTCTGCCAGTTTCCCCCCTCAATATTGCATTTCTGCATCAGCCTGTCTGAGTCAGGTGTCTTCTAGATGTTCCAGTCCTGGCTGGGAATACTAGGAGTTGTCGTCCAAAACAACTGGAGGACACTGGTTTGGAGAAGACTGCTGTTACGTGTGAAACCCAAAATATTTCTCTTTTAGGGTTGGTCCTCCACTTGTATTCAGGCAGCACTGGTGCATCTCTGAACACCGCAACACTGCTTCATATTTGAATTTTAAAATGGGGGAAAATTTTCACCTTTGAAATGCATGAACAGAACCACACAGAGAACTCCAAAACAGAAGGTATCATACACAAAGCAATGGATCAAAGAAGAAGTGATCAGTTAGCTGCCAGGTGACGTAGCTCATAAATGGTGCTATAGGAAGAGAGTCTGGTTGTGTTATTACCACTGGAGACATGTTTGTTGCTGGGGCAAACCAGGGGCCACACAATGACCTCATGGGGACTAGGAAGGTCTAGTGCTTTTGCACTGGTCTGAGATTTGGGACACCTAGATTCTAGTCCTCATTAACTAGAATCTTAATGGGTGACCCCGGATCATTCCCCTCCCTCTCAGTGTCATCTAACAGGGTTGCTGTAAAGAAGATGAACGAGGGAACCCAAGAGATGCACATGCAGCCTTGAGCTCATTGAAAGAAAGGCAGTATTTAAATTTTTGTTGTTTAGTCATTGTGTCCGACTCTTCGTGACCCCATGGACCAGAGCATGCCAGGCCCTCCTGTCTTCCACTGCCTCCTGGAGTTGCGTCAAATTCATGTTGGTAGCTTCGATGACACTGTCCGACCCTCTCATCCTCTGTTGTCCTCTTCTCCTCCTGCCTTCACACTTTCTCAACATCAGGGTCTTTTCCAGGGAGTCCTCTCTTTTCACAAGGTGGCCAAAATATTGGAGCCTCAGCTTCAGGATCTGTCCTTCCAGTGAGCACTCAGGGTTGGTTTCCTTCAGAATGGATAGGTTTGATCTCCTTGCAGTCCAGGGGACTCTCAAGAGCCTCCTCCAGCACCACAGTTCAAAAGCATCAATTCTTTGGCGGTCAACCTTCTTTATGGTCCAGCTCTCACTTCCATACATCACCATCGGAAAAACCATAGCTTTGACTATGTGGATCTTTGTCGGCAAGGTGATGTCTCTGCTTTTTAAAATGCTGTCTAGTTTTGTCATTGCTTTTCTCCCAAGAAGCAGGTGTCTTTTAATTTTATGGCTGCTATCACCATCTGCAATGATCATGGAGCCCAGGAAGATAAAATCTGTCACTGCCTCCATATCTTCCCCTTTGATTTGCCAGGAGGTGACGGGACCAGTGGCCGTGATCTTAGCTTTTTTGATGTTGGGTTTCAAACCATTTTTGGCACTCTCCTCTTTCACCCTCATTAAGAGGTTCTTTAAGTCCTCCTCACTTTCCGCCATCAGAGTGGTATCACCTGCATATCCGAGGTTGAATATTTAAATACTAACTACCAATAGTATAATATACATAACCATCACTGTTAAGTGCAGAAGGCTGGCTTTACATATCCTCCTACTCTGCCTCTTCTTCCAAGATGCTTACTATAATCTATCTCACCTTTATACAAAAAATAAAAATAACATGAAAATACTTTTTTCTGACATTTTCTACTTCTATTTTATTTTGTTCTCAACAGATCCTGCAATATTCTGGTTAACAGGGCACAGGATTTAATCAAGATTTCTGCGATACACCAGACTTGTTTCCTTTTGGCCCTTATATGTACATGTTTGTACACATGATTTGTATAGGTCCCTTTGTAATTCAAAGTTCTTGTCCTGCTGGGAGTGTTAAAAAAAGAAACTTTCCTGGAATTTCTTCGTAACCAGGGATAATATGAAGGCATGTTTGTTGGCTGATTTTTGGTGGCCTCCTCTTATTTCAGAACTGGCAGGCGCTTGATCACTGGGAGTCTGCTGTGAGGGGAGACAAGACCTTAATCATTAACAAGTTACTTGTTTAACAAACATTTGGAATTGGCATCCTAGCTTTTCTTTACAACCTGGCTCCCTCTGCTGGAATAAACTGGAATGCTCTTCTTTTTTGAGACAAACTGGAGATTTCTATAATCTCCAGGAGATACAATCAGTTCTGAAGTATTTTTTTTAATTCCAGTTGACTTTTGTGCATTTCAGTTGATAAGCATTGCTGGACTCCAACCTTTAGCTTAACATTCCCAGGAGAGAACAAACAAGCACGAAGATGGAGGGGGCACAACAATACAAATGATAAATGCATTTAAAACTTCTGTTATATTTTGAAACCTCATATAAGACGGATAGCATAGTTTCTACATAATTCTTGAAAGCTGAAGCATTTTGTCTGCCTTACTACTGTTTTTTAAAAATGCTATTCTATTGTAATTAAAGAATTTATGTTGAAGGAAACTTTCAAATGGCACTAATTCCTACCAAAGTTTTATGCAATGGATTTTAAAATCCAATGAAATAAACATTCTGAAAGTAAAGGTAGTACCAACCAAGCGTGATGAGCATTGGGAGAACAGAGATATTCCAGTCCAAACCTTCAATATGAGAGGCCCTTTCAGAACATCTATTTGGAGCAACCTTTCAAAGCAGCATTCACTTACCTCTTTGTGCTACAACTGGCTTTGGGAAAGACACAAGGAACCCTATGTAAAAATCTGATTGTCCCCCAAATGCAAACGACACAGCAGCAGCAGCAGCATTAGTGACACAAGAAATAAATCTGCAAGTGAAGAAGTGAGTAAACTCACTACTCAACTGCAATCTAAATGCCACACCTTTGGGACAAGGTGGATGGGAGTGAAACCAAACATTAGATTTGCTCCCAATGACATCATCCTACACAGGAGATCCCCAAAATTCATTTCTAATTTAATCAGCAGCTGGCAAAAGCAGCAGCTGGCAACTGTGATAGGTTTCCATTTCCAGGTATGGAAGAAGGGGGTCTCTCTATCCAGATCTTGACTGCACAGGAATCTTATACTGTATCTTTCTCTATCTCAGAAGTGTTGCTGATGCAGATATCTAAACCAGCTCATCTTCCTATTAAAAAAAGTGGCACTGTATTGTCACTACTTATATCCAGGCAGAGCATACACAACTGCACAGATTGGGCATTCTAACTACTCAGAACCCTAGAAATGTTTCCTATTCACTGGTGGTATCATGGAGTATTACAAGTATAATATAGCTTAACTGTTTACATACATTCTTTTTAATACCATGCATTCATTGCCACCATTTGCCTGGAATTAATCTCTTAGGTCGATGGAGAGGAAAAATGGGCAGTTCATCAACCTCTAGAGCAAGAACAGGTAAGCACGGCCCTACATTTGGACTGCAAATCCTGAGACTCCTAACCACCGGCTATGTAGGCAAGGGCTGAATGGAGTGGTGGACCAAAATATATGGAAAAAAGAAGCTAGGTTCTGTCCCTTTTGGTATTCCTTCCACACTTACAATTCTGATTCTCATTTTGTGACCTGTTGCTGATCCAGATTAGTTATTTTTTACAATTTCATTTGGAGCCTAGAAATTGTGATGGTATCTTATATTTGCTGGGGGTCTACCTGTACACCTATCTTTACTTTATAGAAGTAGAGAAAATTTACAAGTAAAGAATACAGTAATGGGATGCATTAGCAGCCAATATTAAGTCCCCTGGGCTGACTGAACCAGCCTCCCAAAACTGAAACAGAAGTGACTGGAAATCCACGTAGGGTTTTGTGCCACTTTGGGGGGAGGCAGTTAAAACAAGATGCAGAGCAACTGTTCTTTGTTCTAAGGGCTTCCAGGACAAGCAATACTTTATTCCTTCCCCAATATCTTTTCAACTTGGAGGGAGGGCATAATTCATTAAATGTTTCAGCCATTAATTTAAATTCAATTATTTTAATCATTTTGACTTAGCAATTTTATTTCTAATATCAATAATCCACATTACACTTTCTTTTTTTATGATCATTTATTTGCCAGGTTTTGTTTGTTTAGCTAATTTTAACAAATTATGCATGTTAGATTCGTTTAACAGAAACAATTAAATTCCGAGTAACGATGTAATGATTTCCAAGCTCTGGCTTAGTAAACGTGAGATTTCTGATTTATTACTTCTTTGTAAAGCCAGTCTGAAGTCAGAAGGTGAATCTGGCTTACACTCCCCCACTTCTTTGGGAACAAGAAGTTAAGAGTAGGGTTGAGATGTCATGCCAAGTTCTTTTTCTTGCTGTTCAGTTTCTGGTTACTAAAGCTGGTCCTACTGGCTGAAGGAGACACATGGCGGTAAGAAGGCAACATGAACAAGGGATGCTTAGATGTGGACAGAAAGCCAGAATTCTCAGGGTCTGCTTTCTTCATTTGCTGCAAATTTATGCAAAACCTTAACAATGGAATACCACGAACTCACTGGATAATGGCCTTTGGGAACTTACTGAAGAGCCTTATTTAGCAGGTATAGGGAGAATATTTATTTTTTTTAAATCCAGAAATTATTATTTCAGTGAGAAACTGTACATCTGCTAGGAATTTGTACTGACATAAGGGCCCTGATAATGCATTGTAAGCTTGAGCGCCTCCAAGCCACTGGTACATGTATATACACATAGTTTTAAAATTAAAAAAACACACAAAAACAGCAAAGGCCAGTAAGAAACATTCCTGAAAATCCATGTTTGCTTGTCTTTATTGGACTGAAACATTCATTGTATGTCACAAGTTCCACTGTTCAATGAGGTTTTAAAAAAGAAATTAAAAAAATCTGGCCCTCACCAGCTGCGTAATGGGGCTCATATAGTCACATTTTGATGAGGCATTAAAAATACTTACTCCCCTGGTCCGTAAATTCCCTGTGTCACCCCCAACCCCATCCCTTCTCACAGCTTTGATTGTATTCGATAAAAGACTGGTCAGACGAAATGCTACCCAGTGGTTGAGTTACTTTCACTGCCACACAAAGAGGAAAACAAAATGTTTTAAAAAAGGCCAGGGATTACTTTAATGTAAAAAAAAATAAAGTAAAAAAAAAGTTGATATGGCAACACTATTAGTAAAGTGGGATACATCACAGAAACAGAAGTTTTTTTTGCAGGCAACACTGGTTAGAAATAGTAAAAACACTTGATGGGTGAAAAAGTGTGAAATGCTAAATTATATACAAGAGAGGATAAGGGTGGCACTGAAAAATAGGCTCATGTGATTCCAAGTTTAAACTCGCCATTATCTATTGCTTATTTATTACATAAATGTAATAACACTTATATAGAGAGACAGATGTGTAAAAATGAGACATTGTGGAAAACAGCTTTTTCGTATGAAACATAAAGTGTATGCTCGTCCGACATGGAATGTACCAACAGTCATTTTATTTACAGAGCTCTCTTTCAGAGTCTTCTTTTTACAAAACCAGCTAATTGGCACAAGCAAGTAAGCTGCATATATTACTGACTTGGGATACTCTTTTGTAAAATCACTTCCAAGTGTCTTTTTCCCATTCAGGAAAGGCTTATTGTGCCTAGTCTTGTACTGTCAAAGATGCCCAAATGCAACATAGGACCCAAAAGCTCTAATCCTTATGAAGGATGAGGTTCAGTTGTTAAATTTCAAGGGGTATCCAATGGCTTTTTCCAGGCACTCTACCAACGAGCCAGCAGAAAGGAAGTCCCTCTCCACTTCCACAAATTTGATGTAAATGGACTTAGGAGAAATCCCAGGATCTACAATGCAGTTTTGTGATAAAAATCCATTGATTCCAACCCACTCTTTGCTGAAGGTTTTGGTGTTTGCCTGAAAGTGTAGGAACAAACATTGCTGGAGAGTTCTGACCTCAGCAATGCCAAGGTAACAATATATGATTCGGGTAGACTCCATCTCCACTTTAAGGGAGGACTGTGTCAAGGGCATTTCAGCTTCCCCCAGAGTCTGATTTTCAGGGTCTTGGCTGATGGCCTCATGATCAGGAGACCGTGGTTTCTCATGACAATCTTCATAACCAATGGCGTACAGACCAGGGCTCTTTGGAATGCCCCCAGGTAATAAATACTGGACAATATTTCCACCAGTTGGCTTGGAGTGAGCAATGGGTATCCAGTCAATCTCCATGTGTAGTTCTAGGCACCGGGCTTCACTAATAGTGATCTCCAGAAATTTGTAGTAAACATTCTTCCAGTTCATTTTCTGTACCCTGGTCATGATTACTCTGCCCTCTGGTTTTTCCGAGTTGAAATATTCCCGGAGTCGTTTGCCAAGGGGAACCTGGGAGCTGATTTCTGCATAGTGGTAGCGAATATCCTCCTTCCACCGCGTGTTATAACCAATGCCAAATATGGCCAGTTTGTTTGAAAGGTGTAGCCTAGAGAAGTCTGTCCAGCTCTGAAATAACTCCCATTTTAACTGAACGGATTCCAAGATTTGTACAATATTCTGCATCACGTCACGTTTCCTTTAAAAAAAGCAGAAACAAGAGAACAGAGTTTGAGGCACAAACAAGAGTAGGGATAGCCATGTTGGCACAAGACAAATCCCAAGATCCAGTAAACAGGTTGTGAGAAAGAGAAACAGGTGGGGCAAAAGTAGGATCTGAATACGTATTTTGTGGTCTGCATATTGTAACAGAAAGTAATGCAGGACAGCTGGTGCGAACAAAGAGCTGGGCATTACGACGGGATATAATGTCATCCAATTTCAACTGGCCTAACCCACAGGCTCACTCAGAACTAAAAAGTTAGAAACATTTGACAATCTATCTATGGCTGCATGAAGTGAACTCAAAGATGCATCCAGCTAAGCTGGGCACACAGCCTCTTTGGTCAGTGGAAACTAGCCACCAGGCATTCTTTGTGTTCTCCAATTTTAAAGTCCAATAAATAAATAAGTCCAATAAATTGTCAGTGGAAACTAGCCACCGGGCATTCTTTGTGTTCTCCATGCTAAAATCAATTTTAAAAGATGGATTGGGTAAGTTGTCTTAATTAAGGTAAGAAGCAAAATGTTAAAGATGGAAAGCCAAAAGCTTCTGTCTTGTCTTGAGGATTGGGTAAGTTGTCTTAACTAAGGTAAGAAGTAAAATGTTAAAGACGGAAAGCCAAAAGCTTCTGTCTTGTCTTGAGTGATTCTATGGACCAGAGTAAGTGAAATCTAATACCATTGTATCTCCTGATGAGACCCAGCTGTTTGCAGCATTTCTCCTCTACTACTTTCCCCCCACACACACACCTTGCACTCACCCTGCATACTTTATTACATCTTGCCTGATAGTGTTCTCTAAAAAACTTGCACAATTTGTACACTTTCTGTTGGCTCCGTGCCACCCTAGTATGGATTTTAGAGCTTAAGGAATGCAACTAAGGTGTTGAAGGTCACAAGAGAAGGCATGAGCCTCCAACTATCAACTTTCACAAACCCCAGATACTATAAAGATATAAAGTGGGTGGAGAAGAGGTTTCAAAATGGTATCTTAGACCGTTTTCAATTTAATATAATGAACACATCCTACACATCCTACTGATCCATTTTCATGTGCTGTTGCACAAAACAAGCAACAATGACAGTGTCTTAATTACCACAACAATATTTTTTTTTAAAAAACTGTCCTGATATTTTCTAACACAAACTGGGGGAAAAACCCTACATTCAGTTCCTTAGGACCTCCAGACAGAGCTAGGAGATAATTCTGCCTGAAACTGTGTACAGGTAAATCAGTGGTGTAGACAATGATGAGCCGGAACTGACCAGTGAAATGAACTCAGCAGAATGCAGCTTCATTTGAATTCTATATGGAAATCATTTTTGGGATATAAAAAAAAGTTCATGTACTACACGCAGTTATCATGCAACAGCACAAGTCTGTGAACTGATATCCAGAGGAATGTTCTAAGACTGTTTGCTGGGAATACAGGATTTTAGAACTTGTCATTCTTTAGATGCTGTTGGACCAGATTTTAAAACCTGATAATAGGTGGAAGCTCTTACATTCCCTATTCCAGATCTGGTATGTCATCATCCCAGCGAGTAAGATGCAGAGAGGCCATACAGAGGTCTGCTCCTTCTGTAACTTACTCCCTCAGTCTTTTCTTAAGATTCTCTTATCAGAGTGAGACTCCGAGATAATTTGGATTGATACTCTTCCATCACCCATGCTAGATGTCAGTATTTGTCTCACTGAAGTTTAAAGTGCTGGTTATTCTTAATAATAATAATCATGTGCAATCAAGTCAACTGATAATCTTCCATCTCCTGCACTAGCTGTCATTATTTTGTCTCACTGAAGGTTAAAGTGGTGGTATTCTTAATAATAATAATCATGTGCAATCAAGTCAATCTAACTTATGGTGACCCTTTTTCAAGGTTTTCCAGGTAGAGAGGTTTCCCATTCCCTTCTTCTGGGAGTGCTCTGGGACTGTGCAGCTTGCCCAAGGCCACACAGGCTGGCTCTACCTGCAGAAGGCACAGGGGAGAAGTGAACTTACAACCTCTGGCTCTGCCGCCAGATACCTAAACCATTGAGGTATTTTTACAGTAGTTAACTTCAGAAGGAAAGCATCTGAAGCTTCTAAAAGTAGCTTTAAAGTTCTCCAAGCACCCCTAACTGAATGTTTTAAAAAGTTCTTTAAAAATGGCCTTCTTTCTCGGCTACCCATTGTCCAGCAATTCGCTGCATTTATTGCAAATTTAAATGGAAATATTTGATGGGAGAACAGGGTAATATTCTTACTTTATCATCGGTTTCTCACCCTGATTCAGGGAATACATTTGGTCCCTACTAGAGAATCTGTTCACAAAACATATCCCAAGATTTTGGTCCAGAAACTGAACCGCTCAAGGTAGCTAATTAAAAATGCTTCAATTTATCTGCAAATGAAATAATATTTAATATACAGAAAAAACCCAACAACTTTAAGAGAAGAGGGTAAGTTCATTCAACCAATATTTAGAACAAACTACTGAAATACATAAATTGTGAACTAACAATGTAATGCTGTAAGAGGGGGCTAGTCAGAAGCCATGAGGTAGGGGATGCCAAACTTTCAGAGAAACCTTATGGATTCCCCACTTGCAAGGGGGCTTTTCAGATCATCTCTTCAAATAACAAGGGTTGTACTAGAGATTATCCTTTTGTTATATTGCCCTCAAGCCATTTAGGCTTTTCACCTTTCGCCCTAGTGAACTGGGATGAGAAATAAGCACTAAAATAAGAATATACAGAGAAATCAAGTGTCTGGAGATCAAGTGTCTCTAGAGGATGTATGGCAGAGATGAATGCACTGTTTTGTTAAACTAACTGTTTATTTTGATGAAGAACAGCTTGAATAATTTTATATATACTGTAGAAAGGTTCAGGTGCTTTCCTTCTGAAATCAGTACTGTAAGACTCAAGTCACAGATAAGACACTTAAAAGCTACTTACTGTGATTCCTCAGAAGACTCCTGCTTTATCTTCAATGATTTCTTTGTAGGAGGCATTTCGTCTAAAAGGTAGGATTACAAATAGCTGTTAAAGACTGAACTCTGGCACAGTAAGTCAGACACTCCATTTTCTACAACAATGTCCCAAATCACATACAACTACAGAGGTGCCTAAACATTACACACAAAAACTTGATTTTTTCAGTATTTTTAATGTTTTAAATTATGTACAATAAAAGCTTGCAGTGGTATCTTTATCTCATGCTGTTTTGAGGATTAGAATCAGGTTCGTCATTTAAATAACAGTATTAAGTCCAAACAGAAGATTAGAGCAGTCTCCCTTGAATATTTTTAACAAGCACATAACACATTCCTATCTCATTTTGATTTGGTATATTCCAATCCCTATTTCAATTCATATCAGTCACAAAATACATGTTTGTACAGGCACCCAAGTGCAGCTGTTACTGTGAAAACAAGCAAGAGGTTCCAGCATACAACAACATTTTGAGTAAACAAATGTGTGATCTCAAACCCCTTCAAAGCTATAGCGTTCATTTTCTAAGTGGGAGATGTTTTACAATACAAGCTCCCTGTGTAAATGGGCATGTGCAGAAATGCATGACAGCTAGGAGTCTGCCATTTGCATTTTTTGGATTTCAACTGTCAATTTACTGACACCTAAATATAGCCCATGTGGAGAAAGGCCTACCTGGAAGTCTGCATGGCCTAGCTTCCTGTTCAAAAAGGAAGCTGCTCTGGTGCTTGTTGAGCCAGCTTCCTTTTTGAACATGAAGCTAGGCCATGAACAGTTCCAGCTAAGCCTTTCGCCACCAGGAACATTCTGTATTTAGATCTCTGTACTTGGTGGTGTGTCAGATAGAACTCCCAGAATGAAGAATTATGGGAGCTGATGTTAGAAAAGTAACAATTGCGCATGGACTCACACTGGGAATCAGTGGGAGGGGGCTTTTATAACCTAAAGCGATTGTCCTTTACCACTAATCGATTCGTAAAGTTTTTCCTGCCTCTGGCATTTGAGGCAAGGCTCTGTCCCCTCTTCCTGTCTGTTTGCATTGCTTCTATTGTTTCGCTGTTAGTTCTCCCCTTCTTCTCTGACCTTCAAACATGCAGCAGACATGGATGTCTTTTCCATGTGGTGGAGACTCCATTCTCCCCTTTTTCCTTTCTAACTGTAATGACAGATGCTAACTGTAAGTAAAGATACCTATTTCTTTCTATTTAAAATGCTTCTGATGTGATTCATTATTGCATAAAGTGTTAGTCTTTTAATGATGTAAACCATTGCTGTATATTCATTGTTTTCAGCTTTAAATATTGTCTTCCAGTGATGTCATCTAAACCACTGGTTCTTAACCTTGAGTTACTCAGGAGTTTTGGACGGCAACTCCCAGAAGCCTTCACCACCAACTGTGCTGGCTGGGGATTCTGGTTGTTGCAGTTCAAAATATCCGAGTAACAAAGGTTAAGAACCACTGATCTAAGCCACCTTGGGTCCTTTTTAAGGAGAAAGGTGGGGCCAAAATATATTTTAAATAAATAATCACTGTGAAATGCAGTTGAAGTCCAAAAAAATCCATATGGTACATCTATAATGACAACATCAGAAGACTGTACAACTTCAAAAGCAAAGAGATAAGGCTGGAATATTAGTAGACAATCTAATTAGTAGATCTTCAGTGAACTTTGAAATGATCCTCAAAGCTTGCAGTGAGGAAACAGCATGGACTTTATGCTGCATCCACAAGGAGAAAGAGCAAAGAGCTGAGCAAAAACCAGTAGTGCTCTGTACCAATTTCAAACATAAGTTGAAATGCCTAAACCTTAACATCTTCTGTTGCTTGAGAAGGTAGCAATGGATTCAAATGGTAAGAAAGGTGATTTGGACTATACATTAGGATGAATGTTGCTCTGACAGTAAGAACAGCTCCGAAATGACCTTTCTTAAAAGGTGGTAGCCTTCCTTTGTTTGAAAGTAGAGTTTGGTAATCCATTTGTCTGGGATGACTTACCTGTGCAATTTCAACATTGGCACCAGGCTGGACTACATGACTCTGAGATCCTTTCCGGCTATACAACTGATGACAATGCACACAGGCAACATGTAGAGAACAGAACAATTGTTCCACCTTTGAACGCTGATGTGTTATGCCAGCTAGCGAAAAACAGAGACAGCAGCAGCCTTGTGGTATCAGCAATGTTCAGGGTGGATAAAAACCAAGGATTTTTTTTTAAAAAAAAAAATCAGATGGATTTAAATCATATTTTAAATTTTTTTTTTAAAAAAATAATCTTTATTTAAATTTTCAGAAAAATCTAAATTTGTAAAATTTAAATTGTGATTTAAATCAATTTGAAATGTTGGAAGTGCACAGCTCCTCCCGCCCGAAGGTGGCATTTCTTACCCAATTCTTGGTCTCCCGACTGGTAGCAGTGAAGATCTTCACTATGGTTCCCCCATTCATCCTGTGAATATTCCTCCATTGTACTGCCATCTGACTCCAGCTCTTGGTAGAGGCCACTGCTGTTGATAAGTACCGGCTGGCAGGGCTGAGAGTCCCATCCTCCCTGACCAAACACTTGCTCCAACTGTTCAAACGTGTAACTGCTTTTCCTTTTACCAACACCATGTTCTTTCACCCGGCTGTAACACCTGCGAAGGGTCTAAAACAGATAATGGGTAGGTTAGTCGCTACAGGATAATTCTCAAGAGGCTGCACCATTTTCATTCATCTCTAACCTCATCTGAGTAAAGCTCCCAACCACATATACTCAACTGTTTTAACCAAAACAGGATGTTACCAAGTAGTCTTAAAGTCAGATTGAGCTTCAAGTCATTTAACATTCCCAACAGACAGCCACTTTATTTGGATATTTGCCACAAGAGGACAACACAGTTAAATGATCATTATTTTAAGACATCAATTTCATTTCTATTGCCAAGGCTTCCCTCCTCAAAAAAAAAACAACTAGCTATATTATGCAGGACTAATTCCCAATCAGATACCAACAAGCCCATCAGACGTACACCTTTACAAAAAGAGGAGAAAGAACAGCTACTATTATGCCCATAGTGTGGAGAAGAAGATTAAGGGAAAGAAGAAAGGGAGAAAGACAGAGAAATAAATAAAACAGGAGTCACCAAAAGCAGACAGCTGAATCATCCCTTATTCCAAAAGGAAAACATTTAAGAAGCTTTTAAAAAATGTTGGCCTAAACTCTTTAGCTAGTAAAATATATTACTTACATATTTTGCATCCTTACTAACTCACTCTGTTTCTTGGGAAGCTGCTGAAATTTAAAAGAAGTGAAATCAATAATGCTATGAATTCCCATGTTGAAAGATCAAACACACAGTACTAAGATAGTCAGGTCTAATTATAAAACATTAAACCCAACAGTCCAAGCTAGATTCTAAATCATCTTTTACACCAAGGCTCAAGACAGATTTGGCCACTTTCATTGTTGCTCTGATGATGCAACATTAGCTGTGCAACTGCTTGCCTGCAATCAGCCTGCTTTATGTTGCAGCAAGCGTAAAGCTTGGCAAACACTTTCTTCTGGACCCCTCATCCTTAGTTTCCAACTACAAGGAATACTTAATTTTGGGATGGGTCAAAGACTCTGTTGTACAGAGTGGGCCATTAACTGAATGTAATGAACCACTGCAAGGCACCATTTGCTCTTTTATCAAGAGAATATATATTACGTGGCAAGATAAGGGATGGTGATAATTTGGAAATTTTGGGGAGAAATAAAATAAAGTAAGAAATGTGTTCCTTTTTAGATATAGCAGATACAAGTTAAATCAGTTACTCAGGTACAATCAGACCTTGCCAACTCCCAGCCATTTCAACAATTTCAAATTGTATTCATATGAAGTGTCATTTTGCCAGTTCCACATCGCTTCTCTGAATTTTCTACTGCTCAACAGTGCACCATGCAGCAGCATAAAAAACGGAATTAATCAGTTACTTATAGGGACGTGGTGGCACTGTGAGTTAAACCGCAGAAGCCTCTGTGTGCTGCAAGGTCAGAAGACCAGCAGTAGTAAGATCGAATCCACACGACGGAGTGAGCTCCCGTCGCTTGTCCCAGCTGCAAAAGCATGCAAATGCGAGTCAATAAATAGGTACCACCACAGTGGGAAGGTAACAGTGTTCTGTGTCTAGTCGCACTAGCCACATGACCACGGAAACGGTCTACGGACAAATGCTGGCTCTACGGCTTGGAGACGGGGATGAGCACCGCACCCTAGAGTCAGACACGACTGGACTAAATGTCAAGGGGAACCTTTACCTTTACCTTGTAGGTATTTAGAATCCAAGAAGTAGGAATAAAGCTACAAAGAATGATCATAATGTTGCTCTGGAGTTAGACAGACAGCAAAAGGTGTATATCTGTGTGGAAGAGCGAAAATCATTTGCTAGCCATAAGAAACACTATGCTTCACTAGTCCTGCAAATTTGAGCAGTATATATTGGTTATCTATGATTATAGCTGTGACAAGGGAATTGGGAATGCATGGAAGTAATGTTACAAAAATACCAAAGTCCGTTCAAGTATTAAAACTGACTACTGTACACCAAAGAAGGAATACTGAATTTAGGATGAAGAAACCCAAGCTGCAATCTCTGTAAGTCTCAGCTACTGACCTGGATCGGACAAGTTTGTCTGGAATGAGGCAAATGCCATATATCTTAGAACAGTGGTTCTCAAACTTGGATCCCTAGATGTTCTTGGACTGTACTTCCCAGAAATCCTGGACTGCACAGCAAGTGGTTAAGGCTTCTGGGAACTACAGTCTGAGAACATCCGGGGACCCCAATTTGAGAACCATTGTCTTACTGTCTTAGAGGATAAGTACGATGACGATAACAACAACAACAACGTGTACATTAATGGGAATGTACTCCCCAGAATAGCTGTTAGGAACTGATTTTACTAGTTGCTTTGAGTCATTTTGGTGGTGGTAGTGGCAGGGGGAATTGGAATGGTCCACTCTTGCTTATTCCATTCATCTTCCATGGTTACTGTTTAGCAACTGTCCGGTTTAAAATAACCTTTGCCTTTTTTTCTATCTTGCTTTTTCTATCTTCTGTCTTTTCTAATATTTTTCTATCTTGGTTAGTTTCACTAATCTACTTCCATTCTGCACAACTAGGCAATAGGGTTGTCTCTCCTCCTACCCAAAGCCATGGAATCCATTTCTATGGGAAATTATTTCATCATATACTATAATAATTTCCATCTCTATGTTTATCCAACTGATTAGGTAAAAAAAACCTAAAAAAAAACTTTATATCTTTGACAGAAACATGAACACATGCCCACCATTCTTAAAGTGTCAAAATATGCTTAGAAAGGAAAAAAAAGTAAATTCCCAAAGATCAAATAATGTTTAGAGCAAAAACAAAATTAAAAATAAAGAAGACAAAAACGCTGTGGTATCTTAAAGACTACCTGCTATATTTTAATGTGAGCTTTCATGGACAAGGCCACTTCCTCAGACAGGTTAATGACAGGGCTCATATTAAAATACAGCAATTAGCCTTTAAGGTACCACAAGGCTTTTGTCTTCTTTATATTTTATTTGTTTTTGCTTGATATGCTAGCAAAGATACAGTTAATGCTAAAACTACACAATATAACATACTTAATTCTGGTATAGAACAGTTTTTAATTCCTTTCACACTTGCTGATAGTTTCCAGCAAGCTGCATAACCTACTTAGCAGAAAAAAATGTTTAAAATCTTAGTCCCACTGGGAAGTTAACAGAACAAAATCACTGAAATCCAAATACTTGCTTAGTTTGTTGGACGGAGTCGATTATCTTGCTAAGCAACAGAATATTATAGCAGGTGTCAGTGTGGTTTCTTTACAGATGTTAAATGCTTTTATTCACTGCTAAAGTAAAACAAATAGTGTTTCTAGCATAATTAGCCAAGTGTCTTATTATGCTCTGATGAAGTCTTTTGGGAGTCCCAACATCTGCATACACTACTTCAAACACATGGGGGTCAATTTTGCTGTTCAAAGTCTTGTCTGGAAGCTAGTTTCAAAACCAAGCAAGCAATCTGATTGGATGGCTTCATTCAGCAAAAGACCTCAACAATATTGCCAATGGACAGATCTATATTAGATGGATAACAGCAGAAAATTCTGCTTTTGCTGGATGAAAATTACTGCTTGGCATTGCGTGCAGCCTGAAGAGTTACAGGGCTTATCTCCCATCCATAAAACCCCAGAATTGCCTGACACACACTGTCCTGCTCACAGGATGGACTTTCTTCTGATTGCTACAAGGTACAGAAGTAAAAAACAGGAACATAAGATATCACTAAGTGTTCCTGATTTAAATATACCTGGAAGATGCCCCTTAAATACCATGCAAAGATGAGAAATTACTAGGCGCATAGGTTACCAAAATTAATCATGCACCAAGAAGCCAATTCCAATTTATGACAAGCTATACACATGGCAGGGCGTGTAACACTATCAGCTACACAACCTCTGGGCTTCTTGGCTAGTCCCCCCTCCTAAGAGACACAATGAAGAAGTTGTGGATTGGCAGCCTGGTACTCCAACCCACTCAGCAACACGAGTATTAGCTTACCATGATATCCTGAAATGTTAAAAAGCATTTTTCCCCGCAATATCCATTAAATACTTCAAGGGGAAAATATGACTATAAGAGAAAAGGCGTCTAATTTTTGTAATTATAAATCCAGCAGAGTAGTCTAAATTTTAAAGGAGATCAAAGCTCATTGGGAGACAGGTGCAAACATCCCAAATTTAGGTGAAAGGATTTCAGGCAGCAAGACTGAAAAAGAGCTGGCTCATAACAATAGACAAGACCCAGGTACATGTACAAAGTGGTCTGACTCTATTGTCAACTTCATACATCCTATATTTAATTCAGGGTGCATTACATTTAAATAAGATCTATTTAAATCATAATTTAAATCACTGCAAGAGGGATAGAAATCAATGTGTTGTTTTTTTAAATCATGATTTAAACTGATTTGAATTAAACAAAATTCACCCTGGTAATTACAACAGATACTGTATGTATTTGCCTGCCACTACTGTATTCATTCTTGTGCCTAATAAAAGTGGCAGATCAAAAGAAAACAGCACACACAAAACCACAGGCCAACATGAAAAACTCATGCCAGAGATTCTCAAGTTTTTTCAACTCACCTCGTTTTCTTAACTGCCTTTCCCCACCTAACATTGTTTTGCAGGCGGATCCATTGAAATTCTCATAACACAGTTCAAGGCATTTTGTGGCAGCCTGTGAGGATTTGTGGACAACAATGGCACAATAACAGGAATAAAACAGGGTGCCTGGCTCTTACATACAAAATCTTGAAAAAAACGATATTAGAGGAAAGGAACAGCTTTTCCTTTCTTCCATAACAATGACAGGATGCTAGCATACAATCCCTCAGATGAATACTGTGCTAATAACTGGTACCCCACTTGAGAGAACTGAACCCATTGCATTTATTAGTACTTTTATTCTCTCTCCCCGCCACTGTCCTGCTGTAAATACCTTACCTTTTCTGCTCCAACTCACCACTTGCTTCTTCATAAGCATCTTTAGTAGCTGTCACCATTCTCGACCTTTCCAAAAGAAAGCAAGAACCACACGTCTTGTA